CTCCTTCCTAGCTTATCAGACGGAGCATCTACTTTTATGGTTAGAAGGCTGGTGGTGTAAAGTTTGGAAATTGGTTCTGAAAGAGAAACTAACCTAGAAAAAGGCTCTACTGGATCTACTACGTAAATGTCTACCAAACGACCATGTTACTTTTTGGTCAGACTGTATTCCCAGATACAGTGGAACCTCAGTTTTCGAGCATCTCGGAAGCTGAACGTTTTAGAACCTGAACGCTGAAAACCCGGAAGTAATTGCTTCCGGTTTCCAACACACCTCAGAAGTCGAACAGCTTCCGCAGCATGTTTTTCCATTTTCACCATTGAAATTGCTGACAGCCCTTTGCGCCTCGGTTGTCGAACATTTCAGAAGTCGAATGGTCTTCCGGAATGGATTACATTCAACAACCAAGGTTCCACTGTATTAAGTTTTTATTATCCTCATGCACCCCGTCCTATCATTGTATTATTTTGTCCAGTGGGTGTTTCTTTCCATTTTGCTCCTGCTCTGAAATGTAATCCCTGTGTTCATGGGTATTTGTAATTTTTGTTGTCTTTTCCTTTGTTTATTTCTTTTGATTATTGTGATGTTAATGCTGAAAATTATATATAAAAACAATGAGAATTAATTAGGCTGCAATCCTATACCAATTAATCTGGGACTTACTTCTGAGTAGACATATGTAGGATTGGACTATTAATTGCATGCATAGTTTTATAGCCAAAGGTTAAAAGTAGGTATTGTAGTCTCTCTCTCCATCCTTTTTTGTCCTCATGTGTACAACTTTATGCAATGAAAACTTGCAGATGAATTTCCTTCCTTCTACAATACCTCTGATGATTGATTAAAAACCTTGTTGGTTGGACTCCAAGATTATGAATGAATTCCCTCCTCCATTTTACTCTCTCACCTAGGTTTTCTGAGGAAAGAACAATGCCACATTATCTGGCTGCCACGTCGCAGGTTCGGCACATAGTAAAATCTTTTGTCTGTAGCCTTTGCATGGCGAAGTTATCATCTTCTGCAGGGTGTTTGAGCACATATTTCACAAGCCACGAGCTAAGATGTGTCTTAATTAATTGAATCTGGCTTGCCCTCAGTCCTCCATCAAGCTTTCCAGACCTGCAAAGCTTTGAACCTTGAACATGAAAGGAAGAGGTATTTATTGGAATCTGTAGCGGGCAATGCTTTGCTGCTCATCTGAAAGTATTGCTTGTATTTCACTTCATAAAATAATGGACGTTGGAGCTGTCTTTTGTGAACTAGGCCGGCAGTCTTGTCTAATTTTAGTGGTAAAGGCAATAAAAGTTAAGTATTCCAGCAGCGAAGCTAGCTCCATGGTTGCCTTCAAAAGCTTTGCTTCTGTCTTGGCCTGTACATTAGGATATAATAATATCAAAGGCCTAGCATGGAATGAGACCTAATTCTTAGAGCATTCCCATGTCACAGAAGTCAGCTCTTTATTAAGAATTTAGGATACCGCAACTTCTTTAGTGTGATAGGAACAATGTGTAGAAGGAACGATTTCTCAAGGAGTTATTGGGCATTTCTTTTTGTTCTTTTTAAAAGTTTCATTCTCATTCATTTCCCCCTTTTTCCCACTTGTGGTTTCCTTTCCACACAGTCTTTTAAGTCTTTGGGGTACCTTTATCAGGAATATAAACTCAACTTCTTTTTGAAGCATGAAAGCTTCCCAGGAAAGTTTTTTGTTTAAACAAAATTATTTTTTTTTAAAAAAACTCTACAGAAGTGGCTGTTTCCAGACCACTTCTTCTCACTTGGGATAGGCACGTGATGGACTCGTTTGAGATTCATATTGCATTTGATTTTATTTGGTCTGGTATATATTTTTTGGCTTGTTTCAATCCCTGCTCTCTGCTTGTGTGAGATCTTGGAAACAAAAGAAGATCTGATCTTGGCACAGCATAAGATGGCTGGAAGTCCCTTTGCAAAAATGTTGAAAGCAGCATATATCATCTTAGCTTCACACGCCTGACTCAGTAGCACTAACAGAGAGTCCCTGTCAATTGGAAATTATTTCCAGTTGCTGCCATTTCTCATTTTATAATAATTTTTGTGTGCATCAGGGGCAACGTTCCCCAGATTTCTGATAGCTGATTCTCAACTCAAATTGGAGAAACACTTTATTCTTACTCCTGGGCTATTTTTTAGAGTGTGCAAAACAAGTCACGAGGGAAGCTGCCTTAAATGGAGCCAGACCATTGGTCCATCTAGCTCAGTATCCCCTTCACTGATTGGCCACAGCTCTCCAGTATTTCAAGCAGAAGACATCACAAGCCCTGGCTGGAGATGCTGATGGTTGAACCAGGGACCTTCTGCATTCAGAGTACAGGCTCTTTCACTGAGTTTCATTTTGTTAGGATTGCCATATGTCCGGAATTTCCCAGACATACCCAGAATACTGCAGTCAGAAATTGGCAAAGAGTCCGGGAAATGTCCGGATACATGGTATCCCAATTTCGTGTTCTCATTTTGTATATATTTTTTTATTGTGAGTCACCCTGCAATATTCAGATAAAGGGTGGTATGCCAATTTAATAAACAACGCTAGAAAAATGCAACCTGTGCCATTGATAAAGATAGTTGATAAAGACTGCTATACAGTGGTACCTTGGGTTACATACGCTTCAGGTTACAGACTCCGCTAACCCAGAAATAGTACCTCGGGTTAAGAACTTTGCTTCAGGATGAGAACAGAAATCGGACCCGGTGGCACGGCGGCAGCAGAAGGCCCCATTAGCTAAAGTGGTGCTTCAGGTTAAGAACAGTTTCAGGTTAAGTACAGACCTCCGGAACGAATTAAGTACTTAACCCGAGGTACCACTGTATAATGAAATGATTTTAGAATGTTGTATTATTTTACTGTTGTTAGCCGCTCTGAGCCCAGCTTCAGCTGGGGAGGGCGGGATATAAATAAAATATTATTATTATTATTATTATTAGGGCAAAACAGGGATAGAACGCTGGCACCCTGCCTTCTTTATAACTTCATCTGCTGGTTCATCAGCACCTCAAAGCTACCGGGAACAACGCTGAACTTACCTTTTTCTTGAATTTTCTTGAACTTATGTAAAAAACAAGAAAAAAACTAAAAACTGAGTTAAGAATGTATAAGAATCTAGTAAAATCTGATATTGCAAGTTCACTTTATTTTAGGTAGTTTGGAAGTTTTCATGGCACTTTGCAAGTAATTGTCTCTTTCTCACGTATTTGATAAAGGATGCAAAATTACTCTTGAACAACTGTGTGAATATTTGTCGCCATCGTGCTGAACAAATTTAATAAACAACAGCAGCAACGGCAGCAATGTCTCAGCAGAATTCTCTGATTACACCCACATCAAGAGATTAGGAAAAAATCTTAAGATTCTGGCTGGAAGGGTCCCCACAAAATTTTCAAGGAGAGGCCAGGCCCCCTCAATATTCTGTAGCCTGCTGCAGGCTCTGGAGGACCTTTCAGCACCTATGGCGGGCCCCATGGGGCCTACCCACAGCTGTGATGGACCCTGCCAAGCCTTCTCCCACTGCGTGACTATCCTGGAAGGAGATAAGACCAGAGCAGAGAGCCTTGTGTGTGGTTACTTTGGCCTCACAAGAGCCTTCAGTTAGTTACTTGAGTACACTTCTCAACCTGACTTCCTGCTAATGTGGGGATGTCAGTATTCCCAGGATATGAGAGTTAGAAGATAATGAGCTGTATCAAACTAAGTCAGAGTAGACCCATTGAAATCAACAGACTTAAGTTAGTCATTCCTATTCCTTTCAATAGACCTCCTCGGAGTATGACTTAGTTGCAGATCCTCCAAGTGTCCCTATTTTCCAAGGATGTCCCTGATTTAGAGAAGCCATCCCGGTTTCTGCTTTGATCTTGGAATGTCCCGCTTTTCCTTAGGATGTCCCTATGTTCATTGGAGAAATGTTGGAGGATATGGAGTTATCCAACCCCCGAGCTGCCTGAAGGCAATCCTGTTAAATGTTTAATGTTTTACTATGTTTTTATATACGTTGGAAGCTGTTTGGGCAACCCCCCCAAAATGTGTGAGGTATAAATACTAACATTATCATTATGGAATTGGACATCCCTATTTTCATTGGGGAAATGTTGGAAGGTATGTAGTTGCTTTCTACCACTTAGTTTCCATTTGATTAGGAAGCTGACACAGTGGGCATGGCTTCTTATGTGCTGAACAATGGTGTAACATCATGTGTTGACTCTTGCTATGCAATAACAAGTCACCAGCTTACCATTACGTGCAAGCGAGGAGCGCTCTTTGGTGTTTGTGGTGCAGAGTTTCAAGATCAGAGTGATAGTTTGGAAACCTGGGTCAAAATGCTGTAAAACAAGTTACCATTTCAAAACTAACCACTGGCACCTACTTATTTAAAGGTTGTAAAAAATTTTTTTTGTAGGAGGGGGTTGGCTTAGAATGCTTATTACCAGCAAAGAGTTTGAAGCTGAATACACCGTGCTGAGGTCACAGTTACTTTGATGGCTCAGCGACATGGCAGTTTTCTCCCTGAGCCGAGATTTCCTTGGTAGCTATTTTAAATGTTGCTCCTTTGGCTTTTCTGCCAGGAGAGAGAAAAGGCACCTGCAAACTCATCCACATCAATCAGCCCACAACACTCAAATATGTCAGGGTTACTGCACAAGGCAAGCTGGAGAAAATTGGCAGTCTGGATATGAAAGCTGTGGACTGGACACAGGGTGTGTGTGTGTGTGTGTGTGTGTGTGTGTAGCTTCAACAGATGATTGACTATGAGCAGAGGTGATGAAGCCAGCATTTTCCTAAGGCAAAACTCCCAGAATCCTCTGGAGCCTCTAACCAACCCTCGTTTTTATACCTGAAGAGACTGCAGTGTAATTGTGCATCCAGATGTTCGCCTTCCCCACAAAAGCCAATAGCAAAACAGGAAGACTTGTTATCACTGAGGTTTGGAGCTACCGGTTCAGCTTTGACTTACTAGGGATGAGGGAGAAATTTGCTTCAGTTTGCAAGGGAGATACCTTGGTCATGAAGGAGGTTTTCCCAGGGTGAGGTCCATCCGCTGCATTCCGAAGTGTGCTGACCCCTGAGATTTCTCCAAATGTGGGAAACCTGACTGCATAATCTGTGGCACAAAACTTACCTAATTCACACTTTCTGAAACAAGATGCAAAGCAAAACACAGCCATCCATTAATTCCCTCTCCCCGCTTCTCTGAATTCGGCAAGGCATTTCTCCAGCCAAGTAATGTGCACCAAAATGCATAAATTAGTGTAAACTATGTATATAGTTGCATATATTAGTGAAAATGACTGTGTTTATTGAACAAATCCCCCACAAAATCCTATGTGAAGGGTGAGTAGAAGCAGTGCTTTTTTCCCTGGGGGGATGCAGGGATACACATACCCCTAAACATTTTGTGAATCTAAGTTTGGCCTCATTGAGGGGCAGTATTTCAATATGAGTAGGAAAAGTACCCCCTAAACATTTCTTTAGAAAAAAAAGTACTGGGTAGAAGTAACACAGGTTAAATTACACAGGTGCAAGTAAAAGGTAAAGGATCCCTGATAGTTAAGTCCAGTCGTGAATGACACTGGGGTTGCGGAGCTCATCTCAATTTACTGGCCGAGGGAGCCGACATTTGTTCACAGACAGTTTTTCCAGGTCATGTGGCCAGCATGACTAAGCCGCTTCTGGCGAAACCAGAGCAGCACACGGAAATGCCGTTTACCTTCCCGCCAGAGTGGTACTTGCACTCTGACATGCTTTTGAACTGCTAGGTTGGCAGGAGTTGGAACCAAACAATGGGAGCTCACCCTGTCATGGGGATTTGAACCGCCGACCTTCCGATTGGCAAGCCCTAGGCTCAGTGGTTTAGACCACAGCGTAACACTGGTTAAAGAAAACATATGAGAAAAAGAGGTCATGCAACCAAAGACAGGAAGAAAATAGCTTGCTTCATTTGCTTCCCTGGCGAATGGAACATTGGTCTGTTTGGTTTAATGGCTGACTCTTGCTTCCACTAGTTGTGGGTAGCAAAAAGACTCTTTTGTGGGCAGCTTCCAAATGCTACAACTTATCACTGGCTTCAGCATGCACTTGGGGGAATTAATGAATTAATCAATATATTGCAGAATGGCAAAATAGGCTACCAACCACAGGTTTGCTATTATCTCCGTGGGACTCCATCATCCATATACAGTGGTACCTCGGTTGTTGAACGTAATCGATTCCAGAAGATCATTCGACTTCCAAATGTTTGACAACTGAGGTGCAATGGGTGGTCGGCAAATTCCATTGAGAAAATGGAGAAATGCACCTTGGAAGCCGTTCGACTTCTGAGGCACATTCGAAAACAGAAGCATTCACTTCCGGGTTTTCGGCATTTGGAAATCGAAGCGTTTGGCTTCCGAAGCGTTCGAGAACCAAGGTACCACTGTATTGTGTTTTTACAACTGTTAGTACAGCTACAAACTGGTGAAGCATTTCTATATAACTTGGAATGTGTTAACTTGTTGCCTAGCATTCAAAGTAGATGTATCACCAGGATAAAAGCGATTTTAGACATCAGGTGAAGAAGGGTGACTTTAAAAAAATGATATAAAAACCCACGTTAATGCTGTGAAATACATATAAGACAAACAACAACATTTTTTTCACTCCAGCTGTTCTTCAAAGATTACCATAGAATGGAAAATGGAAAAGCTGATATTATGTTGTGTGCATTTTAAAATCTCCATCTTCCATCAAGGCTGCTCACTACTTATAGAACTTTTGCTTGATTAATAATCTCATTTGAACAGGCTAATAATTAATTTGGTTAATATTCTTTAATTTATTTAATCAACTACACCAATTAATCAATTAAAGCTTGATCCCTCGCCATATGTTGTTTGTGTCTGTGTAGCATTGTGTATCCTGGACAATTTGTTTTCCCCTTTGTTCTGAAAAATTAGAAACACAATTGCTATGCAGTAGACTTATTACTGAGGTTTCAAGTGCAGGTTTACTCCTCCATTCACTTAAGTCTACATTGCAAAGGGGGAAACACTCAAATATCAGGGGGAAAGCACTTCTGAAACGTGGTGGCTAGATGGCGCTCCATTTCCTCTTTGAAATTCAGGGAAGCTGGTTCTTTGCTGAGAACATCAAATGCGAAAAGGGAAAATAACAGAGGATCTCTTGTAAAATGATGTTGCACAGCTGAGAAGTTGCCAGAAAATGGCCAAAAGCTTGCATGTTTATAATGCAACAGTAGCCATGCGTGAATATGTAGCCTAACTTGCAATTTTTCTGTGGCACATCTGGCATTTTACTTGCACTGGGTTGTTTTGACCCCACAAAGGACTTCATATCTGCCTATTTTCTGGATTCCAAAATTCATGTTTCAAAAAGTTTCCCAGAGCAACCTAAAGTATAGGCACTTGGGAAGGTTGCCTTGCTCTGCCCACATATTTTCTTCCAACACATTTTGAAATGCATTTTGATAATATTTTGGAGCTGCAAACTCTGTCAGAACATTCAGGAAGTTCAAAAGCCGGTGGATAGCTAAGTTCTGATCCACATATATAAGTCCAGGAGCTGCAGATAACAGGCAATTGGTATTGGAATTCGTGACAACAAAATTGGATTTTTTAAAAAAATATGTTTGATGCTCCTCTAAGCGCAGCATTTTTGAGTGGCAAGTGTTGAAATGGTCTCTTGGAAGGAAGCTCACTGAGAATTGATACGAGACATGGGGATTGTTTGAAATGTCATGTATCTCTGCCTCTCCTCCAAACATCAATACCAAGGCATATTCCCCCCTCCCCAGTGAACACCAGGTCTATATATAATCTAGAAACTTGTGCAGGAGGAAGAAGGCAGCAATTTCCATTCCAACATTTATTCCTAGGCTAGCTCAGTCAGTACAGCACAAGACTCTTAATCTCAGTGGCATGCGTTTGAGCCCCACGTTGGGCAAAAGTTCCCTGCTTTGCAGGGGATTGGACTAGACTACGCCTGCGGTCTCTACAATTCTATGATTCTCTGTATTTATCGCAACACACATAGTTTCCATTCCGCTGCAGTTTGCTTTCCAGCAAATACTTCAATATTTATCTTGCCGTGTGCAATTAATACAAGTTACCTAACGGATGAAACTATTTACATAGCTTACTTAACTGGCATTCATTTCAATGTAAAAGAAACTTCAAAACAATATTTAAAAGTTGTTAATTATGTTTGCAGACTTAACCTCACGAATCAAGAAGTTCAGATGACATGTTGTTGTTGTTTAGTCATGTCCGACTCTTCGTGACCCCATGGATCGGAGCAGCCCAGGCACTTCTGTCTTCCACTGTCTCCCGCAGTTTGGTCAAACTCATGCTGGTAGCTGCGAGAACACTATCCAACCATCTTGTCCTCTGTCGTCCCCTTCTCCTTGTGCCCTCAATCTTTCCCAACATCAGGGTTTTTTCCAGGGAGTCTTCTCTTCTCATGAGGTGGCCAAAGTATTGGAGCCCCAGCTTCAGGATCTGTCCTTCCAGTGAGCACTCAGGGCTGAATTCCTTCAGAATGGATAGGTTTGATCTTCTTGCAGTCCATGGGACTCTCAAGATTCTCCTCCAGCACCATAATTCAAAAGCATCAATTCTTCGGTGATCAGCCTTCTTGATGGTCCAGCTCTCACTTCCATACATCACTACTGGGAAAACCATAGCTTTAACTATACGGACCTTTGTTGGCAAGGTGATGTCTCTGCTTTTTTTAAAAGCTGAGACATCAGATGACATAGACTGTGATATTCCTGCATTCTCTCACTCCACACTGGTTAGGAGTCATCTGCAGGCAGCAGGGGGCTTCCCCGAACTGATGCCCCAAAGTGGTTTAGCCTGGATTCTCAGCTCAGATACATATTGAGCAGAAAAGTTTCCATTTAGCCTGGAGGACAACTTGTCTTCATTTCATTTGTTTATTTGTGATACTTAGTTTCTAGGCTACAGAAAGTTCTCTGGGTGGTTTTACAGTGGTGCTTACCTGTATGTTAAAGTCTTCAGCAGAGGGTTTTCTGCAGGTGAGATGAGTGGGCGCCAATGGGTGGCACCCCAATTGTGGAATGCTCCCCCGTACGGCTGTGCCAAAATGTTAAACTGTGTTCCCTGCTCTCAACCATTCTCCATCCATTTAGGAGAAAAGAGATTGCGTTTGAAAAGGAAATGGAAGATAATTTTTGGCAAAATTCTTGTGGGTGGATTGCAGTGCTTTTGGTTGCGAATACCTTAAATTCAAGGTGGAAGCTGCTTTGGGCTATGAACACACCACACGTTTAAAGCACATTAAATGGGGATGCAAGTGCCGCTGTGGTCTAAACCACTGAGCCTCTTGGGCTTGCCGATCTTAAGGCCGGCAGTTCAAATCCGTGTGACAGGGTGAGCTCCCATTGCTTTGTCCCAACTCCTGCCAACCTAGCAGTTCAAAAGCACAAGTAGATAAATAGGTACCACTGCGGTGGGAAGGTAAATGGCGTTTCCATGCACTCTGGCACTCGTCATGGTGTTCTGCGTGCCAGAAGCAATTTAGTCATGTTGACCACATGACCCGGAAAGCTGTCTGTGGACAAACGCCAGCTCCCTCGGCCTGAAAGTGGAGATGAGTGTCGCATCCCATAGTTGAATTTGACTGAACTTAACTGTCCAGGGGTCTTTTACCTCTTTACCTTTTACTTTCAAAGACATTTAAAGCACTTTAGTTCCACAAAACAATCCTGGGAATCCTTTAGTTTGGTTAGGATGCTGGAACTTTTAGCTCAGTGAGGGGTAAACTATACTTCCTTGGATTTGGAGGAGAGAGATCAGGTGTTTTAGATTTATGGCCTGTATGCAGTCCTACACTAAGTCAGATGGTGTGCAAGGCGGAGATGTTTATATTTTTCACATGCTCTCAACAAAGGGAAGACGTTGTCAATGCAGTGTAATGTTGGATAGTTAAGTCAGTATTCTCAAAACACTACTGTGCCCTCTGTTTTGTTTAATCCCCGTTTACAATCCCCTGCCTTATGAAGCAGGACAATACGTACACTAATTTTTGGTGATGGGGGATTGAGCCCTGGTTCTTGCGGGGGGTGAGTAGTTAACCATGTTCCTGCTGCTGTGTCAGTAGGCCAGAAGTTGGAGTGGCAATGGAGCAGAGTCTCTCACCAGTTTTCTTAGTGGAGTGACTTCTGACAATCTCTGAAAAGAATTACCCTACTTCCATGGATTCCCAAGCACAGGGATAGACAACCTTTCACTCTCAAGATGTTGCTGTGCTATAGTTTCCATTTCCATTGCCTTTGACCATTGGCTGAGGTTGATTGGGGGTGGGGGGAATCTAGCAACATCTGCAGTTTCCTCCCTCTGATTCTAGCATCTCAAGCCGTGCAGAACATGATCGTCGCCCGAGGATGTGAATTTCAATGCAAATGCATTTTACACAACGACAACAGCACAATTCCCCAAAGAAGAGTTGTGTGTGGAACTGTCGATTGAAAGAGACCACTGTTTTTTTTCCAGGATGCAATTGATTTTGCTACATGGAAGGCACTCAAATTTATTGCCTATTAATTTATTTATTTTCTTGCAAAGTTTTGCTAACTTTGAACTGCATTTCTTCCGCAGGTATCGTTTTTAAAAAATATTTTGTTAGTCGCCACCACTCACCACTCTCCTTGTGCCTGTGTGTTCTTTTACCCATCACTGCCAATTAATCATAGTCGCTTTTAAATTGCAACAGCTATTATTTTAAGTCGTGCTGAATCATAAAATTTAGGAAATTTAAATCCGGCTCAAATACTGGTTTTACAGAGAAGCGGGTTATTGAACCAGACAACCCGTGTTATTTAAGTACTGGGAAAGTCAGATGATATATGTGTGAACAGATCTTGATTGCAGCCAAACTACTTATAAGGACAAATTCCAATACTTTTTAAGGGGTTAGAACTGAATCAGGAAACACTCGGGGTTTATTTTTCAGTCATCAAGGTGGAGGAAAATATGTTATTTAGCAAATACGCTGCATTTCACAAAGTCCTCCGTTGCATGACTAACTTCTTTTTAAATTAAATGGCAAGCATTCTTAAAGTGTAATTTACTAGCACAGCTGAATTCCCAAAGGTTGTATAAGCAAACTGTAATGCTGCGCAGTGGAATGCACAGCAACCTTCCAACAATGGATAGCATCAAGTCAACAATTTTGGACTAGTGTATATTTGCAGGCTCCAAAAATATAAAACAGAGGTAGAGAACCTTTTTCTGCCTAAGGGCCACATTCCCTTCGAGGCAGCCTTCCAGGGGCCACATTGGTGGGTGGCATTAGAGGTGAATATAGATGGAGCAATAGATTTAGATTTTACACAGTAGGCAAGTTTCTATATACACTCACAACTCAGTAGGAGCATGTGAAGCAAGGCTGGAGAGGAATGGGGTCTTGGGAGAGAACAGGCAGAGAGGCCTGGAGGCCCACATTCGGCCCTCAGGGCTGAAGCTGCTCACTCTTGACACAGGATGTTTTCTTTAGATTCATGAACAGAAGGGCAGACCCTCCAAGTGTCCCTATTTTCCAGGGACAGTTCCGGATTTACAAAAGCCATCCCGGTTTCTGATTTGACACTGCAATGTCCCGCTCTTCCTTAGGATGTCCCTATTTTCGTTGGAGAAATGTTGGGGGATATGGAGTTATGTGACCCCCCAACCAAGGAGATAAGTAACTGTTCAACCTTTAGAAGACATCTGAAGGCAACCCTGTATAGCAGCCATAGGCAAACTCGGCCTTTCAGATGTTTTTGGGACTACAATTCCCATCATCCCTGACCACTGGTCCTGTTAGCTAGGGATCATGGAAGTTGTAGTCCCAAAACAAGTCTGCCTATGCCTGCTGTGTAGGAAGGTTTTTGAATGTTTAATGTTTTATCATGTTTTTATATAGGTTGGAAGCTGCCAAGAGTGGCTGGGGCAACCCAACAACAACGTCTCTGTTTTCACAGGATAAATGTTGAAGGGTATGGAAGAGCACATCCCAGCTTGAATGACTTTTAAGCCTACAGTAGTACCTTGGGTTACATACACTTCAGGTTACATGCGCTAGAGGTTACAGACTCCGCTAACCCAGAAATAGTACCTCAGGTTAAGAACTTTGCTTCATGATGAGAACAGAAATTGTGTGGTGGTGGCGCGGCGGCAGCAGCGGGAGGCCCCATTAGCTAAAGTGGTGCTTCAGGTTAAGAACAGTTTCAGGTTAAGAACGGACCTCCGGAACGAATTAAGTACGTAACCAGAGGTACCACTGTATGCTTAAATCTCTCCCATTAAAATCAACAGGCATTAAGGCTGCAATCCTATGCGTACAGTTTCTTGGAGATGAGCCCCACTGAACAGAGTGGGACTTTCTTCTAAGTAAACACCCATAAGACTGGGTTGTAAAAATACTTATCTCTGGCTGGACTGTGCCCTAAATTCCTCCCGGTCTTTTCCAACCTCTGCTTGGTGAGGTCACTTGAGATTTCCACTGACCTTTTGAACACAGTATAATTTTGTTACCGGTGCTGCTGAAACAAAAATTATTTGACTTGCAGAAAGGGGAGCTGGCCTTTGTTGTCGAGCTGAGCCTCTTTTTGTGGGTTCTGCAAACTGTCCTCAGCACTGATTAGCTTAATCCCTGCCTCATAAAAAATATTTTTAAAGAGCACTTTCATTTTTGCTTTGAAATACCCTTCCTTGCATTTAATAGCAGATATTTATAAAGAGGGTTTCTGCTATGTATCTGCATCTCCACAACTGGGTTCCCAGGGCTTATTTATGTTTCGTTGTGCATGACCCTGGTTAGTTCCAATAAATATAATTTTTAGTTGTAAACAGCTGAGGGTGTAACACTCATCCCTTGGAACTCCCACTCCCAACCCCCCCTCTAATTCCTGATTTAAATTGAGCTCAGCTGCACCTGATAAC